GAAATTTTTAGTTATGATAATATATATATAAAAGAGAATAAGTTTAATATTTTCACTATATATATATATATATATATATATATATATATATATATTATCAACTTGAGCATACATAAGACTTTCCACAATATAAGTATATGGAATGTTTTTCATTTATTCCCTTTCATGTTTATCTTTAAGGTACTGAACCTATCACCTTTCACAATATTTTCTATAATAGATGAATAATCTTTCATCCTAAACCTTTTTCAAAACTCTGACGATATAGGTCTTTTGAGATAAGTCAAGAATTTCATAAGATCTATTTTTTGTGGATCTTAATGGCTAACATATGTTTCACTCATATCTTTCATGTCAAAATTCTTAGAAAGGAATTGTTTCATCTCATGTCACATTCCAAAATCATTGGTTGTAAGAAGAATATCATCCACGTATAAAACTAAAAGGATAATTTTACTTCCATCAACCTTGTGGTACATGCATTAATCTATATTGTTAATGATGAGATAATACTATCGAATTTCAAATACCATTGACAAAATGTCTGTTTTAGTCCATATATTGATTCCTTGAGCTTGCAAACTAAGCATTCCTCACCACTTGAGGAAAAACCTTTGGGTCATATAAACGTTTTCCTTTAGGTCATCATTTAAGAAATTCGTTTTCACATCCATTTGATGTAATTCCAAGTCAAAATAAGCAACTAATGTCATTATTATGCGTAAGAAGTCTTTCACAGATATAGGAGAAAAAAGTTTCTCTATAATCAACTCCTTCCCTTTAAGAGAATCATTTGGCAACCAATCAAACTTTGTATCTCTCAATATTGCTAAGTGAGTCCTTCTTAATTTTAAAAATCCACCTACACCCAAAAGATTTTACTCCATTAGACAACTCAACATGATCTCAAACTTCATTATTTACCACAAAATCCAATTCTTCTTTCATAGAATCATACAACAACTTAGAATTACAACTATCAACTGCTTGTGAAAACATTTCAAGATCATTTTCAACTCCAAAGTCATATTCAAACTCTTGTAAATACACTTAATAATCACTAAGAATTGTCGATTTTCTTATTTTAGCTGACCTTCTGAATGTTACATCCACAAGCCCTAAAGAAAGTTATTGCTCAACTAAATCTTCTAGAATAGGTTCAACTTGACATGGAGCTTGAGCTACTTGATTTTGGTGCTCATCACCAATGACCATGAAGATGCATCTATGAATTTGAGGTTAAATCCTTTTCAAGAGAGAGGGGATGATGGAGGCTATAGTGCTTTTTAGTTGGGTTGTGCACTAAAGCACATGTAGAATAGGATTAGTCCATTGGGCTTGTAATTCTTGTTTGTGGGCCTTGTATTTTGGCCAAGTAGCATAGGATTTTGGGCCTTGTAATTTTCGGCCATTTTAGAATTAGGTTTAGTTAAGCACATGTGCCACCTCATTTACATGTAATTTAGTTTGCATTTAGATGGCATTTGACCCATGTGACCGGCCAAGGGAGTGGCGCACATGGCATGACTCAAATTCCAATCAAATGCACACCAAATCACATGCACATGAGCCTAGCACATGAACGGACCCCAAAATTTGAATTTGAATTCAAATTTTGGCACCTAAGGTTAACTTAAACCATGCCTTGGTTTATTTTAACCTTAGGTGATGGAAAACTTGTTGGAGAAACCCGGATTGATGTGAGTGAAGTTCAAAACAGTTTGAAGATTTTCATGCTCATTTTTCAAATCTTCAAACTCTTGTTTAGCTTTAATTAAAGCATTTTCATACCATGACAGCTTGTTTTTAAGCTTTGAATTTAAAGCATCTAGTTTCACAGCCTCGTTGTGAATTTGAATGAAAGCTTCTTGAAGTTGATCATAATCCGGATTAGATTTAAGGTCAAAATCACTTACTATTGTGTCTTGATCAGCTCCATCCATCAAACATAAATTGTTCTCTTCAAATTCAGATTCATCACTTGTTGTGCTTGAGTCATTGTCTTCCCAAGCAATGTAGGCTCTTTTTCCTTTGCCATTTTTCGTCACTTTCTTTTCCTCTTGTTGCTTTTTTAAGAGGTTTGGACATTCAGCTTTTATGTGTCCTGGTTTTCCACACTCAAAACAATTGTAAGAGGATGTACTTGCTTCCTCTTTCTTATTAGCCTTCTTGTTGAACTTGTAGGGGGAATTCCTCTTCTTTCTTAGGAATTTTTTGAACTTCTTCACCAGCAAGTTAAAGTTCTCTGTTTCAAAATCTTCGGAGCTTGATTCTTCACACACTTCTTTGCCTTTGACTGATTTCAAGGCTCTTAGTGACATTCCCTTGCCCTTTTTGTCTTGTTGTTCATTTTCCTCAAATATACACAGCTTTTGCTCATGTTCTCTTAGCTTTCCAAAGAGAGCAGCAAGGGTCAATGAAGTCAAGTCCTTTGATTCTTCTATGGCAGTAACCTTTGCTTGCCATGATCTATCCAAGCATTGCAGCACTTTCAAATTTAATTCTTCTTCTTCAAATTTCCTGCCAAGATCAACAAGGTGATTTATCAAGTGTGTAAACCTCTTTTGAAAATCATAAATTGATTCACCATTGTTCATTCTCAACAATTCATATTCTCTTATGAGAGTATGCTTTCTAAATCTCTTTACATCACTTGTTCCTTCATGAGTGACTTGCAAAGTGTCCCACATTTCTTTATCAGATTTGCATTGAGAAATTCTAAAAAATTCATCAATAGACAATGCAAATGTAATGATGTTCTTTGCTCTATAGTCATATTGGGCTCTTTTTCTCTCATCATCACTCCACTCACTCCAATGTTTTTCTCTCTTCCCATCATCATCTTTGGTCATAGGGATATAGGGTCCATTTTCAATTGTATCCCACATAGCAATGTCAATTGCTTCAATGAAAATTCTCATCCTAATTTTCCAATACACATAGTTTTCACCATTGAAAATAGGAGGTCTATGTATAGACACACCCTCACCATAAGGTAGGTTGTTGTTGGCCATTTTTGAAATCTTGAATAACACTCAAGAACCTTGCTCTAGATACCAATTGTTAGAAAAGAATGGCTCAATCCAAGAGGG